GGCTGAATTTCGGATATGTTATAGTATACACCCATTGGAACAACTTTCATGAAGAATGTGGCCTCATCCGAGCTATGTAGGTTGCTGAAACAAAGCTTGCAATATGACCTACGAAACTGGGCTGGCAGGGGACTGTAGCCAAAATTGAGTTTGTCTTTAAGCTCTTCATCCATTCATCCAAATTAGGCCCTAACATGCATGGATTGCATCATTTACTATCCAAAGCCCTCATTATTACCTAAAGCTCAATGAACTGAAAGATAAACACAAAAAGGATTAAAAGCACAAGTTTAACTCAAAAACATAACCAAATCATAAGCTAGAAGGGTACAAAATGATATGTAAATATGCACCGATCAGTCATCAAGTCAAAGGAGCAAGAGGATCATGTGGGAGACCTCAGAAAAGCTTTCATCAGGATGAGGAAGCATCAACTGAAAATGAATCCAAAAAAATGCGCTTTCGGCGTCCAGGCGGGAAACTTCCTGGGTTTTTTGGTTCATCAGAGGGGTATCGAAGTGGATAAGAATAAGGCCAAGGCGATCATTGACGCCCCTGCTCCTCGCAGTAAGAAAGAATTGCAGAGTCTGCTCGGAAAGATCAATTTCCTCAGGCGATTCATCGCCAATTCGGCTGGGAAAGTCCAACCCTTCTCCTCTTTGCTAAGAATAAAGGACAAGGATCCATTCCTATGGGGGCTGATTCAACAGGAAGCATTTGATCAGATAAAGCAATACCTGAGTAACCCACCAGTCCTCACGCCGCCGAGGAAGGGCGTCCCTCTAAAATTGTATATTTATGCTTCAGATAACTCTATCGGTAGTCTGTTAGCCCAAGACAATGTAGAGGGCAAAGAACAGACTGTGTTTTATCTAAGTAGAATATTACAGGAGGTTGAGACTCGGTATTCTGCTATTGAAAAGCTCTGTCTTGCATTATATTTCACGGCAGTAAAATTACGACATTACATGCTGCCTTTTACTGTTCATATAATAGCTAAAACTGATTTGATCAAATACATGCTCAACAGACCCGTGCTAAGGGGACGATTGGGAAAATGGATTCTGGCTCTTTCAGAGTTCAGTTTCAGATACATTCCTCAGAAGGCAGTAAAAGGGCAAGCTATCGCAGATTTTCTAGCCGCCCACCCTTGCGTCGAAATTGAAGATTTAAGCACTATGGAAATAGCCAACCTAGGCTTCCCACTTGATCAAAGAATCCCGAAACTTAAGATCAAAAACGTCTTTGGGAAGTTACCGGGCCAGCGCGGACAGATTTTAATTCCCATAAAAACTGTCCAAATCAAACCATGGAAACTATTCTTCGACGGATCAAGATCAGAATCCACAGCTGGTGCAGGGATTGTCATTGAAGATCCATTCGGAGCCAAATTTGCATATTCATTTCAGCTCGATTTTGATAGTACCAACAATAGGGCCGAATATGAAGCTTTGATTATCGGCCTAGAAATGGTACTGGAACTGGGGGTTACCCACCTGGAGGTCTTTGGAGATTCTCAGTTGATAATCAAGCAGTTGACAAACGAATATAAATGCAGGGATCCGACCATGGCAGCCTACTACGTCGCAGCCCGCAATCTAAGCTCTATGTTCAAAGATATATCAGTCAAATATATCCCGAGAAACGACAACTTGGCGGCCAATGAGATGGCACAAATAGCATCTGGCATACAAATACAGGAGCACCAGTCCGAAAGGACCATTAAAGTCCAGAAAAGGTCCCTACCTTCAATCCTCACTAGAGGGATGAATCTTGAGATAAACACAAACGAGGTGCAGGCCGGAGATTGGAGAAAACCGCTGATTGATTATTTGACCAACCCATCTCCAAGGGTGAGCAGGAAGACCAAATACCACGCCACTAAATTCCTAGTTATGAACGGAGATTTGTTTCGACGAACCAAGGAAGGAATCCTCCTAAGATGTCTGGGGCCGAAAGAGTCCATGAGGGTCATGGGAGAGATTCATGAAGGATCCTGTGGTGCTCACCAATCCGGAAAAAAGATGCGATGGCTGATCCAAAGATATGGCTATTTCTGGCCAACTATGGAAAAGGACTGCTTTAACTACGCTAAAGGATGCGAAGATTGTCAAAGGAATGGTCCGATACAGCACCTACCAGCTGTCCCTTTAAATCCGATCGTCAAACCTCGACCTTTCCGAGGATGGGCTATGGATTTCGTGGGCAAAATCGTGCCTAGTTCAAGTAATGAGCATACATTCATTATCGTGGCTACCGATTATTTCACAAAATGGGTAGAGGCGAGTGCAGTCAAATCCATTTCCTCTTCGGTAGTGATCATCTTCGTTAAGCAGCACATCATCCACAGGTTTGGAATCCCAGAAACAATCACTACTGACAGAGGCACATCCTTCATTTCCAAAGAAATCCAAGACTTTTCGGACGCCTACGGCATCAAGTTCGTACAGTCCAGTCCCTATTTCCCACGGGCCAATGGTCAGGCAGAATCCACTAACAAAGTCTTGATCAACATAGAAGACTTAGATGCTAGACTTCCTCTAGATTGGACCGATTTTTGGCTAAGGAAGATGAGAGGGAGCATGTCTCTCCTACACATAAAAAACCCAACAGTGGAATGTCAAAAACCATAACTAGGTTTTGAGTCAAGTTTAGCTTTTATAGGAAAAAGCACACAAAGGGAGAGAGAGAGAGAGCTCTCTCTATGGCCGGCCATGTAGGAAAGGTGGGCTTGACTTAGGTCCTTAGATTTGTGTTGTCATACAACACTTATCCTTGGGGCCAATAGGTTTTTGGGTATTTTGCCTTATTCCTTTAAATCATATTTAAATCCCAATTCAATTCCTTATGTCAAAGTTAATTCCATAATTAACTCTTAATTATGAATTATAACTTAACCATTAAAGTTATACTTATAGTCTTACTATTTGACTCGATCAATTACTTCGGTCAAATATGTTGACTTTGCCTTTGACCTTTGACTTTGAGAGCTCTCTCTATGGCCGGCCATGTAGGAAAGGTGGGCTTGACTTAGGTCCTTAGATTTGTGTTGTCATACAACACTTATCCATGTGCCCAATTGGCTTTTGGATATTTTGTCATTCTTCTTTTAAATCATATTTAAAGCTGAATCCAATTCTTTATGTCAAAGTTAATTTCATAATTAACTTTGAATTATGAATTAAAACTTAACCATTAAGTTACACTTATAGTCTTACTATTTGACTCGGTGAATTATTTCGGTCAAACATGTTTTCTATGACCTTTGACTTTCGGCCGTTGACTTTTGACTCTTAGTTTCTTTTCTCTTCATTTGTTCCTCTAATCACATTTCTTAGTGTGCAATTTGCAGGTTCCTTTTAGCAAGGTAGTGGGTAGACTCAACTTCTCTGAGTTGACTTATGAGTTAATCTCACTATTTAATTCTTCCTGTTAGTGAATGTCAATTATGATTGAACCTTTTAGGACTTCCACAAACCATGGTTGACGTCTAGCAACATGTCATTGTTATCCGAGCTAAATAGGTGTAGGGAAGAACCTAATCAAATTGGATCGTGCAATTGAATCATTCTCTTATACAATACTCCTTATTCATATTATTAGATAATTGAATCTAATGTAGAATATCCTAATGTGAATTATTCCTTTATATGATTATCCTGGTAAGATTTGAAGACTTCTTCTTTCAAATCTTATCCACTACTCTGCGTAGAGATTTGATCAATCATATCCTTGGAGCAGTCTTTCTCTTTACTGAGAATAGAGATTCCTTGTTGTACATTCATCTGCCTTCATGACTTTATTAGAGTCTTGATAAACACTTTTAGGTCATGTCTCCTACAACACAACTGTATAGTACCCTCAAAGACAAACAATATAGCCACAAGACATCTATGATGTCTCAGGTCTAAGGATTAGTTTGCACAATTGTAATCTATGAGTTGTAGTTTGACATGTGAGTAAAGACATATGAGTTCTAATTTGACATGTGAGTAAGAATTAGTTTGCACCATTGCAACCCTTTCCCATAAATTAAATGAAAAGGGGACATGCCAATTGGAGTCTTGAAGGCTGTTCAATACGTCCATAATGCATCAGTAAGCTTCACACTCCAGTCTTTTCTTGAAGAGCTAACTGTTTTCTCCAAAATCCGTTTGAGCTCTCTATTTGAAATTTCAACTTGGCTTGATGTTTAAGGATGATAGGCTATTGCAACTATGTGACTGATGTTATATTTTGTAAGCATAGAAGCAAAAGCACG